CCTGCCTCGGCCTCCCAGAGTGCTAGGATTACAGGCGTGAGCCACCACGCCCGGCCTGTTGTTGCATTTTGTTGAAATGTATGTTAAAAAAATTGAAAAGGGCTGGACGCGGTGGCTCCGCTCATATAATCTTATGACCACCCTGGGGAGGCCGGAGGCTGGCAGATCGTTTGAACTCAGGAGCTCAACACCAGCCTGAGCAAGAGCGGAGACCCGTGTGGTCCACTAAAAAAAATAGAAAGAAACTAGGTGGACAAGTAAAAAAAAAAATATATATAGTATATAATAAAGATACATACTATATTATATATCGTATATAACTGATTGATATACTAGTATACTAGTATATATATATAGTATATATATATATATATCACTCCAGTAGAGTCCCTACTCTGTGAGTGGGAGGCTGAGGCGGAGGATCGGCTTTGAGCCAGGAGTTTGAGGTTGCTGTGAGCTAGGCTGACGCCGCGGCACTCACTTAGCCTGGGCAACAAGCGAGACTCTGTCTCAAAAAAAAAAAAAAAAAATTGAAAAGAAATCAAAAGTCGGGTGTTTGTTTTAGATCCCTGCCCCTGAAGTACCGGCCCCTCTTCCCTGCGGAAGTTTCCCGCCTGGCTTCTTGCCCTCCCTGGTGACGCTGTTTGGGGAGGGAGGCGCGGAAGGCTGTGTCCTCTTCTGCTCTGCGAGCTTCACGTGCCGCCCGCCGGGCGTTCACACCGCGCAGCGCGCTGTCCTCGTCCAGGGGCAGCCGGGCGAGCTGGGTTTGATGGGGCCGCTTGCTGGGACCTGCTCTGAGCTTTCGAAGGCGCCCAGGGCACTGGCCGCCCAGGTGGCCAGAGGGAGGCAGGAAGGGGCGGCCCAGCGGCCCCCCAGAGGGAAGGATGGCGCTGACGGCAGGTGTGACCGGGCTCCCCACCACAAACTCCAGCTCTCCTGCGCTCTCCCCCCACACCTCGGGCGGGGCTGGCGGGGGTGGGGCACGGTGCTGCCAGGCCTGGCCCGGCTGGTGGCACGGCGGCATGGGCCACGTCCCTGCACTAGGGCCTGGGCGAGCAGGCGGCCCCTCCCACGGGGAGGCTGAGCGTGGCGTGCTCCGAGCTGTGCCTCTCTGTCCTGCCCCTGGGGATCCCTGTCTGAAGCACGCCGCGCCAGCACGCCCTCGTCCCCTACATTTGCTCTAAAGGCAGTGACGTAAATGTGACAATTTTAAGACTGTTAAATAGCGATATCAAAACAAGTCGTAGATAGCCATGGAAATGACCAAGCAAGCGGAAGAACGTTCCTTGAGCACTTCCTACCTCCAAGACTTTGGACGTGACCCCGTCTGTCCCAGGATGACTAGTAGAAACAAGGGCAATCATATTGAGAGACGCCATTGTTCATCCAGCGTTCTTTACGCGCCAGGCATTCTCTCATCTCCTCGTCGTGACAATGGCCCCTTTTATCTGCAGCTGACAGCCAAGGAAATAAACTGGGAGAGGCTGAACTGGGGCCTCGCATGCAGCTACTTGGGGGCAAGGCTGATTCCTGCAGTGCCCAGGCTCCGAGCTGGGAACCCCAGGCTCAGATGCTGACAGTCTCAGAGGAGGCAGTGGAGGGAGAAGGTCTGTATGACAGAAGATTCTGGAAGGAGTTGGGAGCAAGCTGGACTGAGGCAGGTGAAGGAGCGGGCAGCGGTGTCCGAGTGACTAGCAAATTAATCAACCCGTCTAAGCTCTAGTCCTCGACAGTCGAACAAGGATGATAAGGGCACCCGATCTACCCTCCGTGCTGAGGACTGCGGGGAGATTCACACGAGAGGTCATCTCAGCCCTTCCCCCTTCTTCGGGGTCCTCAGCGGCCGAGTCACCAAAGTCGGGTTGGCTCGACTGGTTCGTTGTCTCTCCTCCTTGCTGCCACCCGCCCGTCAGGGACCCCGTCACTGCGCCCAGGTGGTTGCAGCAGACCCGTGGCGGCTTTCCCGCCTTCCGTCTGTCCTCACGTCTGCCCGCCCCGTCCCTCTCTCAGCGTAGATTGCTTCTCCCAAACAACGCTCTCTCCACCTTCCTCCCTGCTCACAGCCCTCGGATGACTCACCCCTGCCTTTGCGGTTAAACCCGGACGTCCTCGCTGAATCACCCGAGGCCCACTTTTCCACGGACGGGCCTCCCTGCCTCCACGTGGTTGCTGCTAGCGCCCCGAGAACACGCTGCACTCCTTCCCGCCGCTGGGCCTTCATCCTCGCTTCCTCTTCTGACCGGGTGCAGCCCCCAGGGGCTCTCCCCGGTGGGTGACTCTTCCGCCCCCCTCCCCCGTGCCTTGCTCATTTGGGACGGGGCTGGCTTGCCTAAGACGTGGGCTCGTGGAAAAAAGAGACGTTTCCAAAAAAAGAGACGGGCTGCAGAGTCCAAAAAGAGACGGAAAGACGGGCTCTGCAGCCCGTCTCTTTCCAAAAAGAGACGGGCCGCAGAGTCCTCACGGGGGAGACCACATCATCCGCCCTTTGTGTCCAGCCCGTGTGGTCCCAGCACGGGGCACGGCTGAACGTAGAGGAGTTCCTCAATACAGTTTGCATTTATTTATTTATTTTTTGAATAAAGGTGGTTTTGAGAATGATGCTAATGAAGAAATGGAAGATAGAAGAACCTCTTTTCCAGGAAAGACAGGCAGACAAAAAAAAAAAGAACCAGTTTCCTTGCTCCCTGCGGATGCAACCGACACCTATGGCCGGGATTTGCTGGTTGTTCCTGTCCCCGGAAATCGGCAGGCTTTCCTGCTTCCGTCTGGGACGTCCTCACATCCTCTCTCCTTGCGTGCGACCCTTGGAAATTGCTCACACAGTCACAGGTGACCATTTATTAAGTCCTTAATGACAGTAACAGTAAATAGAGCGATAACGATCTGGTGGGAAGGGCAGAGCAGGAAGGATGATGGGTGGGGACACAGAGAAGCCTGTTCCCATCCTGGGACTTGGGGTTTCAAGCCAGGCTTTCCACTTTTTTTTTTTGGGTTTGTGCTCCATGCCCAGCTGGCAAGACGCCGCTCTCTGATTCAAAGGGGGAAGAAGCCTCCCTCACCCGAGGATCGTGGGGACGTCAAACTGCTCCTTACGCAACAGCCTCCTAATGAGTTAAGTGTAAATGAATCAGAAGCAGATGGATTGGATTGTTCTGGAAATACACCCGAGGTTTAAAAATTAAGGGAAAAAAGCATTTGGCAAAAGGCATTTTGGGGTTTGCCAAGACCCAGAACATTTGAAAAACAGTTCAAGATTTTTTTTTTTTTTTTTTTCTTTTTCTTTCTCTTTTCTCTTTGGTTGCAAAACCCAAAATGCTGCCGGGAGGCAGTGGGAAGAGATGGGCCTCCATTCTCCTTTGGAACTGAAGTTCCCCCTGCCGCGTGGGTAATGGACCCCGGACAGGAGGCAATGGGCTGTGGAGCTGCCCGGGAGATTCTGCGTCTGCCCGTCTGCAGGGAAGGGCTGTGCCTTGGGCCTGCAGCTCCCAGACGGGGCCTCAGCCCCCTGGGCCTGCCTTGGGCTGCCCGGCGGGGCCTCCTGCCTTTCCAATGGGGGAAGCGCATTATGTAAGGGAATTGGTCTCCAATTTGCTAGCCAAGAAACTTTGGAGGTTAGCAAACACTAATCCAATAAAATATAAAGTGAAATGTTTATTTTAGAGAAAAGCCTTTAAACATTTTTTTTTTTATTATTATTAGTCACATTTGGCACAACTGAGTCTTTTCCTGGAGGGACTATCTTGTTGAGGGAAAATGAAGAAAAAAAGAAAAAAAAAAACAAAAACAAACAAAAGAAAGAAAACAACTGTCCCAGAGGAAAACTCAACCCAGCAGTTTCTAAATCACTGGCTTGCTGTGTGATTGTGCACAAGACTCCAAACCTCTCCCGGCTTTGGTTTCCTAATAACCACCTCTGAACAATTTCTCTGGTTCAATGCAAACATGAGAATCAATAAGCTGGGGGCTGTGCTGGCGATAATTCATGCTGGATAAAGCGCCCTCATCTATAGGAACATTGAGCGTCCTCGGTGTGTCTCGTGCATGTTCCACTTAACAAATGTCAGCGCAGTTACCCACGCCCCACCCTCTCCCCAGGCACCTATCTGCAAGGGCCCAAGCAGCTGCACCCCACTCCAAAAATCCTGGGGGTTCTCAGCTTGGCAAGCCTGCCTGTTCCCTGGACCATGACTGGGAGGGTGTGGCTTGGTGACCTTGGGCAGGGTCTCCCACTTCTAAGGTGTGCTGTCCTCGTTTGCGGTTCGGCCTCAGTCGGGTCTGGGAACAGCAATATTGGTGTTTTCCTCTGAGTCGTCTCTTGCTGCTCTCAGCTCCCCAGCCTGCTGCCTGCTGGCCTCGCCGGCTTCTCCCTGGCACGGAGGCCCCGGGGCTTGCTGCACGCTGGCGAGGGGCTGGGAGCTGCAGCCCCGGCTGTGGGTGCCAACGGCAGAGTGAGGCAGAGCGTGACGGGATTCCATCCACCTTCGGAGGCCTGGCTTGTTTCTTCATGTGTTTGTTCTTTCGCTCCCTCATCTGCTCTGCTTGGTGCTGGATCATAACCCGATCTCCCCCGTGAAGACAGGCCTGCTCAGCTCAGGCCACGGCGACAATAGCAACCACTGGCAATTGCATAACTGCCGTTCGCAAAGAGCTTTTTTGCGTATACAATCTGCCAGCTTCTCCTCTTCTCAAAAATCCACAGAAAATTCAGGGGGCTTCCAATCCTCGGGTCAGCCGTCTCATTTTGCAGAGAGAGTATTCTTTTTTTTTTTTTTTTGCCCAGGCTAGAGTGAGTGCCGTGGCATCAGCCTAGCTCACAACAACCTCAAACTCCTGGGCTCCAGCAATCCTCCTGCCTCAGCCTCCCGAGTAGCTGGGACTGCAGGCATGCGCCACCATGCCCGGCTAATTTTATATATATTAGTTGGCCAATTAATTTCTTTCTATTTATAGTAGAGACGGGGTCTCGCTCTTGCTCAGACTAGTTTCGAACTCCAGACCTGGAACACTCCACCTGCCTCGGCCTCCCAGAGTGCTGGGATTACAGGCGTGAGCCACCGCGCCCGGCCACAGAGAGAATGCTCTTACTGAGGTCCCAGCCTTGGTGCTGGGGCTGGGTCCAATGCCCTCTCCACCCCGTGCTTCCTTTTTGTGCTTGAACTCACTGTTCTTGATCCGGGTCTGTGTTGCTCTGTGCCGTCTTGTTTACACCACCATTTCGACACCCCGTGTGGAAGGTGAACTCTTTCAGGACAAGGATCGCTCGCGGTTTGCACTTCCCCCGTCACTGACACGGAATCTGCTCAGTAAATATCTAATTGACAGGGGTAAATGTTGAATTGGGCAGAGGTGGCGGTAACCCCAGTTCGCTGTGGAAAGATTGGCACTGCGTCCCTGACCGAAACGACAGCTGCTCCAGGTCTCTGGGTCTGTCCCAGTTGTCACTCGAGACCTTATTTAGTTCTGCTCCAGCCTCATCATGAGCAGCAGCAAAAACATTGTCCTTATTGTCACCATGTGCACATACCAAGCTCCTGGAGCAGGGCAAGGCACAGAAAAGAAGGTGTTAGTGTCTAGATACCGTCCCCGGCAAATGAAAATTAAGCAGAAGCTCAGAATTGGCGGGGGGGGGGGGGGGGAGCTGCCGGTGTGGGGAGAGACAGAAAGGAGCACCCGGCCTGCCTGAAGGTCTGGGTTCCTTTGCTAACTCACTGGGCGACCCTGAGTTCACTGCTTTCAGCTGAACGTGGGAAAAAGATCCTGCCTGCCCCTGCCTACTTGCTTCTTAACTGTGTGAGTGAGAGGGCAAACCAGATCTCATCTCCAACTCCCCGGAGGAAAGGCAGTGGTGATAACAGTGATTATCTGGAGGTTATGGCTTGTTGAAGCTGCCATCAAACAGAAAACAGCTCACCCCTAAGGGCACTGAGGGCCTGGGCTGGGAGCTGAGAAGCGCAGATCGTGGGTGCGGGGTGGGGGGAGCATGCATCGCGCTCCAGGGGTTTTGTCTCAGACTCTGTTGCTCTTTGCTTCCCTGGGTACAGGGGCATCCCGAGAAACCCCTTCCCTCTGACCTGTGAATTCTGGCTCCTCCAGCATTTCTGGCATGACCATTCAGGGCAGAAGTGGACTTGTTGGAGGCAGGAAGGGAAGATAAAAATAAAATAAAAAGTTAGCTAGGCTTCTACATTCCTCTGAGCTCAGTTGTCCAGCTTAACCTTCCCCATAAACATCTACGACCTTAAAAAAAAAAAAAAATCCCACAGCAATGTGCAGATTGGCGGGAAGGTTCTGGGCTCCAGGTCAAGGCCAGAGGGCATCGGGGAAGTGACTCAGCCTGTGGGGTGGGGGAGCAAAGGCCCCCCCCACCCAGTCCCCAGGGCTGTGAGTCCTGCCTCACCCGGTGAGCCTCTGCCCAGGTCGGGCAGGGGGCCCCCAGTGGCTGATGGCCCCAGCTCCAATGGAAAGTCCGGATTTCCAGGGAGACAACCCGGGAGGTAGGAGGGGAGACATGTCTTAACATCTGCAGCAAAATTAAAAAAATTAAATAAATAAAATTTGTTAGTTTACAAATAGAACTGTTCCTTGTTACTTGGGGTATTAACAATCTCCTTTTTTTTTTTTTTGCTTAAAAAAAATTTTTTTTTAAAAAATAATTTTTAATTTTTTTTTTTTTCGGTAACACCCGTGAAAGACGTTTGTTTCAGTTGCCAACATTTCTGCAGAACTAATGTGGGTGGATTGTGACAGATATAATTTCTCCATCCTACAGTTTCATCAACTTGAGTTCTGTTAAACTATACCCGCTGGGCTTAGCTCCTTTTAAAGTTTCCGCTTTGACAGGTAGATTTATTAGTCTTGAAATTTGTACAAATCAGATGTCACTCGTGGCAACTTGTCAAAATGTCAGTCTGGCGAGGCGGCTTGAAAGGCTTTGTGGAGGGAGACAGGCGCGAGCAGGCTTTGGAGAACTCCGGCGCGAGCAGGCGCGGGAGGGAGGACGGCGCAGCCCGCAGCCCCTTGATCCTCGGGGCTTTGCTTTATTAAATATCTCAATCTGCGCTGGGGGTGGGGGGGACGGGCCCCTGCATCCGGGGTCTCCGAGACATCAGGTCTGACAGCTGCAGTGTCAAGTTACGTTCGCTTAGAGGCGGAAGGCCAGGGCTGCTCGCCTGGCTGTGCGGGAAGGGACAGGAGTCCAGGTCTTTTGGCCTCAAAAAGACACGGGGTGGCTCTGACGAGCAGCACGGGTGTCCCCGGGGGGCTCCCCTAGGCCGGGCTAGGGGGTCCCTTCCAGCCCCCAAGTGCAAACTCCTAGCTCCACGGGGCGGAGAAGGAAGCCAGGGGCGAGGGAGGGAGGGGACGCCCTCAGGAGCAGGCGAGTGGAGACAGGCCTGCCCTCTCCTCCCAGAGCCCTGGAGGTGGCAGTCCCAAGCCGGTCCCCGGGGACCAGGGCTCGCTCCCCCAGTCTGCGGGCTTCCCAGACTTCCCTGCTCCCAGCTGTCAGTCAGTGAAGGATCCTGCGATTTGGTGAGCTCCATAATTATCTGAGTTTGGCATAGCAGGAAATGTTATTAATAGTCAGAAAATTATCTGAATTTCTCCCCTGGGGTGGGGTGGGGTGGGGTGGGGGGGAGTGTAGGAGAAAAAAAAATCCATCCAGGGTCTGGGATGCAGTCTGCTCCCAGTCCTGGGGGATGTAGACCTTCAGGGCCGAGAAGGTGCCCTGCTGGGGGTGGGCTTGTCCTGCAGAACTGGAGGGAGGGTGGTGGCCGGGGAGCTCCCGCTGGGTCACGGCGGTGTTTGCTCGTCCTCCTGGGTGGCTAGCAGGGGACACTTTAGTTCTCGGCATTCCCACAACCTCTTCCCGCAACCCACTTCCCCGAGGAGTCCTGGTGCAACACTGTTTGTCTTCGAGAAGGGGGGCCAGGACGTAGCAGATGGCCGCGCACCCCCGGGTGGGAGTGCCGAGGCCCTGCCCCCGTGACTCTGTCCCCCATAAACACGCCTGCCCGCCTGCTCCGGCCACCCGTCCGCCTGTGGGGTGAGCAGCGACAGCATCCGCACGGGCGTGACCTGATTTGAGAAGCCTGGCGCTTACACTCTTCCTGCAACATCCTCTTCCTCCTTTATTGAAGCCCCTTTTCTTCCTACATTTCCAGAAACTTCTGCAAAAATGCCGATTCCTCTTTGAAGGGTGCGTCTCCTTCCTTCTTGGGCCTCCGGGTCCTCGGTGGGAGGGCCATGCCGGGAAGGGAAGGGAAGGCAGCCTCCGCAGACAGCCCTTCCCGGTCCCCTGCCCGCACGCGTGCCTGGCTGCGGGGGGCTGAGCTGCCGTCTGCGTGCGGCAGAGTCTCAGGCGTGAGGTGCGGGTTCTTCTCTCCTCCCGGGCCGGGCAAGCTCTGCCGGCCTTCCTCCCGTCCACAGTCCCTCCTTCTGTTTGAGCAACGCCCCCGACCTCCCAAGCGCGTGGGATTATCCCAGGTGAGAAATCCCAGCCTTCAAGAGGCCAGATAATGGTGATGACCATGATGGTATGATAATCGTGGTAATTACTCTTAATAATCCCTTGGGATGCAGATCGTGTCTTTCAAAGCACTCAAAGACTTTCATACGTTTGATCTCGAATAACCTCAACCTACTTCTGGGGGAGAGAGATCCGTGAGCCAGCCTGCAGTCGCTACTGAGGGAAACTGAGGCACCGAACCCATGCTTTTCGCCCTGGTCCCTTTTGCTTAGCTACATGAGTCCTGGGAAAATGAGTCTTCTTTTCTGTGATCACCTAATTATTGTGAGTTGCTGTCCTGTCCCCGAGAGTGAAGCACACACCCACAGACGCACACGCAAATACACACAGACACATACAAAGACACGCAAACACACACCCAGGCACACCCAGGCACACACAGGGACACGGGTGCACATCTGTGGCTTCCAGCCCCCAGACGGGCCTCTGCAGAAAAGCACGTCAGCTTGGAGAGGAGGAGGAGGAGGAGGAGGGGAGGAGGCAGATCTGAGGAGCACATCACAGGGAGGACTTTCTTTAGAAGAGACTGCGCTGTGCCATGGTGCGGGCGACCGGCTTTCATGTGGCAAGCGTGTGCTGGCAGCTCCCTGCGTTAGGTGGATCATGAAAGCAGGGGCGGGCGAGGGGAAGTTTCCCAGTCCCTCCTCCAAAGCCAGCTCTGCCCACCCCACCGTGGCACTCTGGGGTCACTTTGGAAGGGAGAGGATTTGTCCCTGAAAGGCTAAAATCAGGGCAGGGGCAGGCGGTGGGCGCTCAGCGCTCTGGGAGTCCTGCGATTCCGGTTACTCCAAGCGTCTCTGCTTAGTCACTCAGGGAGAGAGAATTCGGGGTTGGGGGGAGAGGGGCAGAAAGAAATCTCTTTGTACCGTGGAGGAAGAAGAAGAAGAAAAAGAAGAAGGAAGAAAAAAACCCCACCAGCCCGCTTGGCGTTAGTTCAGAAAGCTCCAACTCACACATCTGGTTCTTATATTTCAAAGTTAATTAGTCATATTGAGGCTGTCTGAAGATAAATTTATCATCCATAAAAAACACAAACAGTTTGAAAAATGAAAGGAAGTGAGGTGACATGGCTTGACGTTTAAATAAATCATTTTAACATGATTAAAAAACTTGTCCTGTCTGACACCCAGCACTTGGGTACTTTTTAGAGACTTTTCTTTTTGACAAAGACAAGTCCCTGTTTGGTATACAAAAGCCCTTGCCATTCAATTACTCAGAATAACCTTTGGCCGGTTGCATTTCTGAGCCACTAGCAGGGTGTGCAGCCTGCAGCCAGCCCCGGTCTCTGCAGTGGTGGCGAGAGCCTGGGGGAGTCGGTGATTATCCCAGGGAAAAAACTGGGGATAAAACATTAGGAGGTTGGGGCAACTGGGGTTTTTTTTTTTCTGGGAGACAAGTGGACATTCGAGACGTTTCTGATCCTGCCCTCGCTGGATGGTTGTTGGCTGAGCAGGAAATCTGTCCCTGGGCCAGAGAGGAAAGATCGTCTTCAAATGCAAAAACTCCCAAGAGCCAGATGTGCCCTGTCCCGGACACCTCCCAGAGAATGGATGACAGTTTGAACTCTGGCGCTGATGGGATTAAGAGCCGGGCTCCCTCTAGCCCGGTGATAGCGGCAGCGGCCAGACGCCGAGGTAGCACTGTAAATAACGGTGAACTCTGATGAGATGGTCCGTTCTAGCGGCAGATGGGAGTGACCTGGAATCCAACGCTCCACATTCAGGCACAGCACTGCCCACGTGCCCTTGCCCGCCCCACCGGCCCTGCCAGCGTACCTCGTGTACTTTGTAAAGGTCACCGGCTCCTGTTTTACGTAACGGCCGACAGCCATCTGCGCCCAGCTCGGCGGTGTGGACAGACACCTCGAGTGGTGCTGCCGGTGGTGGCAGGTGCGGGTGTTTCTGGATGTCACGGAAGAGGCCAGGGGCTTTCCGGGGCCTTCCCCAAGTGTGCCTAAGGTCAGCCGGCTCTCGGGAGATCCCACGTGCCTTCCGGCGTGTCCTCTGGTCTCGTTCTCCACGCAGGGCGGGAGTGACATAATATAACATGAACGTTTTCTCCCGCTAGCAATTTGGTCTCATCAGTTTTGTTAATGGGATAACAAGAGGTGCCGGTTATGGTGCAGAAGTCTCATCATGTTGGTAATTTTCGCTGTAACGTGTTAGCAATCTGTCACCGTGTGTTTCCAGTAATACTGGCGAGAGGCTGCTTACACCAGGGGCTCCGGCTTTCTCCCCACTCCACCAGGCTGTTCTCCCTGTCCCTGGCTGGGTGGCTTCCCCGCTCCGATCTGTCTCTGTCCGTCTGGCTGTGCCCTCGTTTGCCTGCCTCCCGCGTCTCTCTCTCTCTGGCTCCTCCCCCCGCCCCATAACCCTTCCCAGTGTTTGTATGGAAGGGAAGGGAGACGCCAGCCCAGGGCGGCCTGCAGGGATGGGATTCCAGAGCTGGGAGCCCCAAGCTGTCATCACCCCAACCTCCCCACCCCTGCCCTGTTCACCGCCGGAGAAACGAGGCCAGGAGAGGAGAAGTGACTTACCCAGCGTGTTCACTGTCAGTTTAGGCGCGAGTCAGGACTGGGGCCCTGGTTTCGTGATTTCAAATCCACAGTATCTCCTACTTGCACGAGCAGCGGTGTATGAGAAAAATCAGCCGGTCCTAGAAGCAAACCAACCCTCTTAACATATGGGGCGAGTCGTCTGGGGGGGGGTGAAGGTCGTGGGCAACACAGACTCTCGTAATCGGGACGGGCCCTCAAGCCAGGTGGTTTTCTGGGGTGAGTCATCCCACCAGCTGCGATGCCTCAGGCACGGGGGGGGGGGCTGCCCTGGGACGGAGAAGGCAATGCTCTCCTTAGCGAGTCCTGCCTGGCAGTGGGGGGGGGAGGCGCGGCTTCTGGCCCCGGCTGGGGTCGCCAGCTGTCCAGCACAGAAGCCCTGGCCAGAAATAGCCTTTCCTGTGTGGGGCGAGATGCCCCTGCCGCCTCGGGGTTCCACAGCCCTGCTGCAGCTCCGGGAGACCTTCACCTTGCCCTTGAGCGATTGCCGGGGTAGCCAAGATTCCTTCCTGCCCGCAGCTGCTAACCTGAGGCTCCAAGGCCGAGAAGAGCCAGAGACTGCACCCCGCTGTGCAAAGAGGCCAGATTTCGAGTCAGGTGCATCTTCGCTCAGCCCCTTTGAGGCTGCATGGGCCTTTCTAGCTGCAGACGCTGCCCGTCTCCGCCTCCTGGAAGGCGGGAGTCCCCTCACAGTTTGCTCTCAGGTTTGCAATGGGGAGCAGAGGAAATGTGTGTAAGGCCCCCAGAATGTGCCATGGCACATAGTGAGTCTGCCATAAGCCAAAAATTCAGCCCCTGACTCAGTGCCCTGGCCGGGTGGCACGTCTTTTGGGCTCATTTGTAGCCGCCGTCAAGCTCGCGGTGCAGGGTGACGACGGCTGGCCTCGTGGCGAGAGGGCCGGTGGCAGTCGGGAAAGGTGTTCCATCGGAGGGTCGAGGAGGCTTCCCAGGGTGGAGGGACGGAGAGCGCGGAGTGAGCATCTGCTGAGTGGAGGGAGGGAGGGAGCAGCTGGCCACTGAGTCACCAGCTACCACGTTCATGTTTAGGAGAAAGAATGAATATTCAGATGTCTGCGGCAGGGGAAAAAAAAAAAAAGGAAAGAAAAATGTTCTGACTTGGTGCTGGCGAGAGCTACCAGGCTTGAGCACATTCCCTCTGTCACAACCTCCCCACTAATTGTCCGGAGCTCCCTTGATTGCTTTCTAATGAAACCGCCGGCCGACTTTGAAATCGCAGCGCCGCCGTCTCATCGCGCCCTGCTGAATCATAAACATCGCTCGCAGGGGCCGAGGGGCCGCCACGCCCGCCGGGGCAGGGGCCGGGGTGCTGCTCAGAGAGGCGGCTTCCTGGTCCTGTCCCCGGGCAACCGCCGGGGTGCAGGGGAACAGGTGCCCGGGCGGCTCAGCCTCTCCCCGGTTGTCCTTACGGCGCGTTGGCGGGGCGAGCTGCCGGCCTGGTGTCTCCTTTGCAGTTTTAATGAGTGTGGCGTGTGTGTGTGCGTGTGCGCGTGTGTGTGTGCGCGCGTGTGAGTGATTGTGTGCGTGTGTGCGTGTGCGTGAGTCTTTGTGTGCATGTCTGTGCGCGTGCATTTACCAAACCCGCCCGTGTGACCCAGGTCTCTACTCAGACGACGGGAGGCTGGGGGCGGGACCCCAGGCCAGTCGTTTTGCTCCCCGCCCCAGGCCTCGGTTTCCATCCGCCCTTCCCAGCCCGGCCCGTGCTCCCTGTGCACGTCACAGCGTGCCTGGCACCTCTGCCGGCAGGTGTGGGCGGCACACAGTCTCAGGTGCCCTCTCTCATCACCCTGCTTTCGTTGTCCCCAACAGTGATCGGGCTCATAACTACCTCGCCAGGTGTTTGTCTCCTCTCCGGAGAGTACGCGAGGTGAGTTCAGGGCCTTGGCCGCCCCGCCACCCCCCCGTGCGGGAACAGCTCAGTGCCGGGGCCACAGGTGCCTGCTCCAGGCCCACATGTTGGCTGCACGCGGGAAACTGCGAGGAGCGGCCACTAATGACTTCCTCTGCTCGCCTCATAGGGCTTCCGTAAGGGCCGAATGATGGCGGCTGTGAAAGTCATTTGAAAAAGTGAAAAGAAAGATGCCAAGTGTGAGCTATGCATGCGCCTCTGCTGGGGGAGGCAGAGGACAGGCCTTTGCCAAAACGTCTCGGTGGCCTGGAGGGGAGGCTGGCGGCCACCAGGCCTCTTCCAAGTGCCCGGCTCCCACCTGCACCAGCGTCCTTGCAGCAAGACCCGGGGTGGCAGGACCGTTCGGCCAGCGTGGGCCGCAGTGAGCGGGTGTCTGCCGTGCGCCGAGAGCCGGGGTCAGGGGTGCAACACGCCCCCTGCGGCCGCTGCCCCGGCAACTCCCAAGCCAGGAGGCAAGGCCGACTTGCAGAGTGACAGCTTTCAGTGCAGGGGTGCCTGGCACACGACAGGCAAGCGCGGCGACTGAGGTTGCTGGGAGGAAGGAGCGGTGAAGCCCGAGAAGATGGGGAGGGGACAACGGGGCCACCGGGAAGATGGGGAGAAGTTTCCTAAGACCCTCTGTTTGTTTCTCATTATTGACGGCCGCACGTGACTTTTTTTTTTTTACTCGGTTTTTGCCGGTCACCTCCAACATGAAGTTTTAATCCCACAGCCACAGATGTGTCCGCTTGTGTACTGTGGCCCTTTGGGGGGGGGGACAGCATCACTGCAATAGCTAAGAGCCGTTGGTATCCCTCAAGAACCGGCTGGCTTCTGCCCAGGTGGGGTGCTGTTGCCTTTTTTCGAGTGCACGCTGCGACCACACGCCCTTCTCCCTGTCGGCCAGCTCTGCAGGCCTCGGAGGACTCCTCCTACAGGTCCGATGGCTTCGTGTCCTTGTCTTCTACGGGCCACGGCCAAACACCGGCCCCTGGGACAGACACAGCCGGAACTCAGGGTTCCGGGCATGTTCCCCAGGGCCCCGATGGCTTTCAGGCTGCTTCTGGCTTCCGCGTGCGGCTCTTGTCTCCAGCCGGTCAGCCTGCTGAGGGCAGGGGCCGTGCCTCTGGTTCCTGTTCCCCGTTTCCCCCTCTGCCTAAGCCAGAGTTCAGTCCTTGAAGGTCCTCTGGCAGATATTTTTTTTGCCTTCTCAGCATGACCAAGAAAATCGGGAGTTGTTTCTTTTGCAAATCTTCCCGTTGAGTTCAAGGCACCGAGTAGGGGCTTACAAAATATTCGTGGAGTTGGAGAGAGCATCTTGGTTTCTGTTTGAGCCATCTGAAACACGCAGTTCACTCCGGCCCTGACACCTTGGAGCTTCACTCGCAGAGTCGATGGGCTCCAAGGATCTGAATTCGTGACAGGCCTCCTGAGCTCACGTGCTCTCAGGAGCTGAGCGCGACAACCTGCCAGGGTCACATTCTGGCGAGAGGTTGGTTTACTCCTCGAGGGACAGCCACGCGAGTGGCAGTTTCCAGTCTCGGCTCTGCCGGGAAACCAGCTGCAGCCAGACAAGCAGCACCTCTCGGGGTCCGTCTGGGGCACAGCCTCCGGTTGGGCTGGATCCGCAGAGACATTGAGACATTCTGCTTTGTAGATTACCCGAGAAATCACATCCCTGTCGTGTTTGAACACTCTGGAATAGGAAGGAATTATTTTCCTGGGTGCTCCCCCGTCCAAATGTTTGAAGCTAACAAAATGTTTTCGAGCAATTTCTTGCCTACCAGAGTTGGTGAAACTTGCTTCAAGTGTCTTTCCAGAACCTTTCACAGAAAAGTAATTGTGTAATTAGCTATAAATTAGTAAAAATTATGCTAATTACTTCCAGGTGTGACATATTTTGTGCTTAAAAACAGGGAAGAGAAATAAAAGGGGCTGTCAGCGTGGCTCCCGAGTGAGGGTGAGCCCGGGCAGCTTGTCAGGCTGATGTACACATTTACTTAATATTATTTTTTTTTTAATTATGTAATTTCGGAATAAGTACAAACAGATCCAGGAACAAAAGTACAACAGACAAAACCCAGAGGTAGTTCTCTTTCTTGTGTGTGCTTAATTAAAAGGAACCGAAAGCAGGAGATTTTTCAGGACTTTCCTTTTCAAGCCCGTAAAGGGGTGAGCCGGGGGTGGGGGTGTTGGTGCCGGGAGGTCTCTGGGCTTCATGCTTCGCAAGGCAGAGGGGCTCCTTGGCCCCTGGGGTTTGCGCTCTCTGCACACTCTCTGCTCTGCTTGGGTTCCTGTTGTTAAGGTCCTGTGCCCCGTGGCCTAGGGATGGCGGGGTGGCTTGTGCTAAGGGTGGTGTCTCTGGGGGTTCATTTGCACGGAGCTCTTTGCTTGGCACAAGGCTTCATTGTACTGGCAGTTGTTGTGTCCTCTTCGACACAGCCCCACCAAGTATGTAGGGTTGGTGCTGTGGCCTTCGCAGCGTGCACGAAAGCTGGAAGGACCGTATTCTCCCGGGGGTGGGGGAAAGGCTGAGTAGATGGAATCCTCTTCCTCCCTCCTTCCTCTCCTCCTTCCTCCTTCTTCCTTTCTCTCCTCCTCCTCCCTGCTTCCTTCTCCCCCCCGCTTCTTCCCTCCCGCCTTCCTTCCTCCTTTTTAAATCCATTCAACGACGCTGGCTACTGTCTGCACCTGTGAGCAGCGGTGGCAGCTGTGAGCCAGCCCGTCTCCCTGCAGGCCGCGCGCGCTGGGTCCCGTGGGGGGTGCTGGGCAGACACAGGCAATGCCATGGCAAAGGTCACAGGTGACGGATGGCCCTGAGGAACGAATCTGGCGGAGTGCGAGTGACAGTCTCTCGACCGTGACCCCGACCAGGTCTTGGGTTTTGTGAGGAGAGTGCCATTTTCAAGTGTTTTGTCCCATTGTCTTTCCGTAGGTGCGCCCGTGGCCAGGGAACGGTGCGTCGTGCGCTGTGGTTTGGAGAGCTCGGTGCTTGGAGCTGTGACGGGGAACGTGGCAGTGGTGCCCCCACAGGATGAAGGCCACCGTCCCCGAGGACGCGCCCTGGAGCTGGGGGTTCCGGGGGAAGTGGGCGTTTTCCAGGTGGAGCAGGAGGGAGGGGCTGAGAATCCTTTCGGCAGAGGAGCTGCCCGGGAAGGGCTCTGGAGGCCGACTCAGCGCTCAGCGGGAGTCATGGGGAGGGAAGGGGCTCCTGG